AGAGCCTTAGGCCCTAGTGATAACCCAGGAAATTCTTAGGGCCCTGGAGAAAGCCTTTGACCCCAGAAAGTACCAGAAGGACTTCAGTTCCAGTGAGAATATGGGGAAGACCTTAGGTCTAGAGAGAAGCCTTAGGACCCACTGAAGATGTGGTGGATGTGTTAGGACCCAGTGAGAATGTAGTATAGCCGTTAGGCCATAGTGAAAACCTGGGTCAGCCTTAGATCCCAATAAGTACCAGCCAAAAGCCCTAGGTCCTGGTCAGAACCTGAGAAGGCCTTAGGACCCAGTGAGAATATGGTGAAGACCTTAAGTGCAATAATTCCTGGCATAAGATCTTAGTCTTCTGCGATACCATTGATAATTCCTTGGTATCCGTGAGATCCTGGAGAAATTCTTAGCCCCATTGTAAACCTTGGAGAGTTGGAGGCCCCTGTTAGACCTAAAGAAAGCCTGGGTCCCAGACAACCACTAAGAAGACTTTAAATCACAGAAAGGCCCTAAGAAAATCCTTTTACCTCAGTGAGACCCTGGTAAAGTCCTTGGGCCTATAAAGACCCTAGAGATACCTCATGCATCAGAGAGACCCTGGAAAAGTGCTTATGTTCCAGAAAGACGCTGGTGCATGTCATAGGTCCCTGAGAGACTATAGAAAGAGTTTGAGTCCAGTGAGACCCTGGAAAGTCCTTATACTTTAAGAAGCCCTGGGAATCTCTTTAAGCTCAAATCAGACTGCAAATAAGCCCTTTAGGTTCAAATGAGATCCTAGGGAAATTACAAGACAATCCCGAAGATAGCTTCAGACCACTGAAGACCTGGAATACACTGAGAATCTGAGGAAGACCTCAGAACCCAACCAGGCCCTGGAGAAGGCCTCAGGGCAATGATAACCTGGGGAAAGTCTTCAAACTCAGTAAAACAAAACAAAACAACAACAACAAAAAAAAAAACTAGTGAAAGCCTTAGGACCCAGTGAGAACCTGGAGAAAGATTTAATAAGACCCAGTGAGAACCTGGGAAGGGGTGAAGAGTCAGAGAAGTCATCTGGATACAGCTTCAGACCAGAGAGAAGCTGCAAAAAGTCTTAGGCCCCAATGAAACTTGGGAAGGCCTTGAGCCCTAGTGCAAATCTGGGAAGGTCTTAGGCCCCGATGAGACCCTAGAAAAGACCTTAAGCCCCAGTAAGAACATGAGAAAAGCCTGTTATCCCAGTAAATAGCAGGAGAAGGTCTTGGGTTCCAGTCAGAACCTGAGAACACCTTGGGCCCCAGTGAGAATATGAGAAAGGCCTTAGGTGCAATGATACCTGGTGTAAGACCTTAGTTCTCTGTAATAGTTTAGATAAGTCCGGGGTCTCTGTGAGATCCTGGAGAAGTTCCCAGCCCCCATTATGACTCTTGTAGGATTGTAGGCTACTGGGAGAACTTGGCTAAGGCCTGTGCCCCAGTGAGACACTGGGGAAACTTTTGGAATTAGTAAGACCCTGCTAGAATACTGGGCTCTATTCAACCCTTGGTGGATAACCTTTGGCCACAGTGAAACTTGGAGGACATCCTTTGGCTACAGTAAAGCTCTAAGAAAAGCCGTTGGCTTCAGTAAAGTCCTGGGGAAAATCTTAGGCCCCAGTGAAACCTTGCTAAGGCCTGGATCCAGTGAGTCTCTGTGGAAGGCATTAGGTTCTTTTGAGGCTGTATAGAAGTCCTTAGGCTCCCATTCTGTCACTGGAAAGGTCTTAGGCCCTGGTAAGGCCATCTGTACATTTTAGGCCTAAGTGAGACATCTGGATTTAACAAGATGATTCAGCTTGTAACAGTGTCTGCTACTAGGCCTGATGACCTATGCTTGCTCCTAGGACTCATTTTGTGGAAAGAGAGACTCATGGCCTATGGATTGTCATTTGACTTTCACATTAGGAAGCAGTAATGATTAATTAATTAAAATAAAGATATAAACAAAGAGCTGAGACTTCAGGCAAGCTTGTGAGCTTCTTGAGAGTCCATGGGGACCTTAGGCTGTGTTGTCTAGTGAGACGCCGATGAAGGCTTCTAGCCCACAGATGCTCTAGAGAAAGCCTTTTTCCCTAATGACACACTTGTGTAGTATTTGAATACTGCTGACATCTCAACTGTGACCTTAGAAAAGGTTGTAAGGCTTCTTAGACCATGAGCCGGGGATGAGAGCAACCTTAGGACAATGTAGAAGGGCCTCAAACTTCAGAAATTCCTAGCAAATCCCAGAGCCCACTGAGACCTGGAAAGAAAAGCCTGGAACCATGTTGCATCTTGAGCAAGGTCATCAATCCCATATGATCCTAAGGAAGACTGGCCTTTCCTGAGACCCTAGGGAAGTCCTTAACCCTGTTGAGGTACCAAGGCTTTAGCTCCTTTAGGGCCCTGGGAAAGTCTTTGGCTCACAAGATGCTAGTGAGAGTTTGGAGAGAGCCATGAACCTTACTGTGTGCCTGGAGAAGGCATTGGCTTCATTAAGAATCTGGGACCCTGGGGCAGAGAGCAAGACCCTCCAAAAACCTGGGGAACACAGGAGACTGTGCTGAGACACTTCTGGAAGCAGTATAGTGCCCTGAGATCCCTGGGGGTTTTCTGTTTCTTTGAGACCTTAGGAGAAACTGCGAACCCTACTGCAACCATAGGAGAGATCTTGGGAACCACTGAGCCCCTGACATGATGGCGTGAGTGTGAGGCTTCCCCACAGACTCATGTGTTTGAACACTTGGTTCCTACCATGTGGTGCTGTTCTGGGAGATTATGAAACCTTTTACACATGGGGCCTAATTGATACATATAGGGCCATGAGAGAGAGCATGAGGATTGTAGGCCAGACCTGCTTCTGGTCTGACTCTGCTTCCTGGCCAATGCCTCTGAAAGTTCCTGCTGCCATAGACAGACCAGCTCCAGACACCTTGACTTTCATTCCATGATGGACCATAAGCTGAAATAAACCTCTCCTTTCCAAAGTTGCTTCTTTGGAGGGATTCATTCACAGGGCTATCAAAGTAACTAATGCAGGGGGAAGAGTTAGGTCTTGGGAAGTCAGTGAGGCCTGCTGAGGCCTTATGGAAGGCCATAAGCTCCCTTGGGGCCCTTGGGAATGCCATGACTTTGGATGAGAGCCAGGAGACAGTGTGAGCCCCACTGAGTTCCCAAGCAGGCCAGGCTTTGTTAACATCTGGAGAAAACTTAAGTTTCTTTCATGCCCTAGGGAAGGCTGTAAGAATTTGAAATAGTGATATGGCATGACCATGATGCTTCTTGGAACCTTGAGGAAAGGCTGTGAGTTTTAAAAGTGCCCGGGGAAGGTCTCAACCTCACTGAGAAACTGGAGCTGTCTCTGGGTGCCACTGCCCTTAAGGGTACTCTGAAATCTCACAGAGACTCTGAAGAAGATATTTGTTCTGCTAGACCCTTGGGAAGGCCCAGACTCACACTGATCAGGGGCATCAGGGGGATCAGGGGGCACTTGCTAAGCCATGTGGAGCCCCAAGGAAGGCCTTAAGACACAGGAAAACCCTGAAATAGGCTGTGAGCCCTGCTGCAACCTTGGGGTGAGGTAAGCCCATTGCAGTATTGGCGTCTCCATGAACTCCTTTGAGACACAAGCCATGTGTGGTTTCCCTGGACAGGCTTGAGCCCCCACAATGGTCCTGTAGAGTGCTTAAAGCCCTGTGGGGATGCTTCAGGTTGCCCCTGTGTGTCACTGAGACCCAAGAAAGAGCTTAAACATCACAGAAAAAGCATAAAGAAGACCCCAAGCCTTTTTAGGGTCCCAAGGAGAGCCAGAAGTGACAGTGTATAGCCGAGTTCCAGGACTTGGGAGGCTGGGGAAAGAAGTCTGTGAGGTTAAGACCAGCCCAGCTACACTACAGGACCCCTTCTCAAAAGAAAAAAAAACAAACTCCTAGGAAGGTTGGAGCTCCAGTGAGACCTTCAGCAAGGCCCTCTGTTCTCTCTATGATCCTGAGGACACTCCTCCCTACTTCCCTGGTCTTTTCACCCCGATCTTGCCCCAGCTCTTTACCTGTGTTCCTCTTGAGGTGATCAGATATCTTCTGCTACAGTGGGTCCACTGTAGTGTCCCAGGTACCCAGAGTTGGATGGCCACAGCACTTTCTAGGGGACAGGGAGCAAGAGAGCATGGAGCAAGGTGCCCACAGTTCAAGTCTATTGACTGCAAAACGCGCACAGGGTAGAGTTCTAGCTCATGCAACTACACCAAGGGTTTTGTTTGTTTGTTTGTTTGTTTGTTTTTGTTTGTTTGTTTGCTGGTTGGCTAGGGAACAGGGCAGTACCAATTCAGGGAAGAAGGGATCAAGAAATCCCCAACAACTCCAAGTGGAGGCTGAGAAGGGTTTCATAGCTGGGGTAGAGCCCTCAGTAAGAGACGGAGGCAGCCGACTCTGAGCTCTGAGATATGTACCTCTGTGGGGACTTGCTGGCCTTCATGTGCTTTTCACGGGTACTGTGGGAGGATGTGCCACAGGGCTTCAACCTGGCTGACCCCTGAGTGGGCTATGGGTTTGTGGAAGGAGAGGTGGTGGAGAAGGGACCAGCAATGCCTCTCGGGTTCAGTTCCACTTTCTTACTACCTCTGCGGGTGAGCTGGGGTCTCAGCCCAGCTAAGGACCCAGCTACCAATACAAACTGTGAAATAGTCCAAGGACAGAGATAACTAGGTCCCCAGCAGTTCCAGCTCCCTGGGGAATGATGTGGAAATTGCTCAGCCAAGGCCAGAGAAGGCCTCACTCTCTCTGGGACAATGCCCCCTGCTGAGAACTGGCTCATCAGGCCATTCAAGCCCCTTGTTAGGACACTAATTACCCTAGTGCTAAGTAGAGGTGCTGACGTCCAAGAAGAGCTTTCTGCAGACCCAGCATGGGGAAAGTGTTCCGGAAACTGCAGCTTCAGCCCCTCTAGCCATCTGCTGACCCACCCCCTGGAGCCCTTAATGGGCCAAACAGCAGAGTCCAGGGGGACAAAGAGGAGGTGTTTTGGACTATAAAGCTAGTGAGGACCCAGTGACCCTCAGCCCTACGTGACCAGCTACAATCAATCAGAGACCATCAGCAAGCGGGTATGTACTCTCCTCCCTGGGCCTGGTTTCCTAGCCAAGACTCCAGGGACTTGAGGAAGGATGTGGGCTCCTGTCTTTCATGGACATTTTGCCAGCCTCAACTTGGCCTGTCTTCCAGGTTACCGTTCCATCATGGCCCTGTGGATGCGCCTCCTGCCCCTGCTGGCCTTCCTCATCCTCTGGGAGCCCAGCCCTGCCCACGCTTTTGTCAACCAGCACCTTTGTGGTTCCCACCTAGTGGAGGCTCTCTACCTGGTGTGTGGGGAACGTGGCTTCTTCTACACACCCAAGTTCCGCCGTGGCGTGGACGACCCACAAAGTGAGCTCTGCCCTTGAATTCTGTCCCCAGTGCTAACCACCCTGCTTTTCTTCGCCCTCGGGACCTCATAGGTTGTGTCCTGGGTGCGGAGGGTCTCAGGGTAACCAGGGAGGGGAGGCAAGTTTCCATAGGAAGCTGGACATACATAAACATGGCATCTGCTGGGAAGGAGTGATAAATCCTGCCTTAAGGCTTCTAGGTGGTGGGAACTTGGGACATATGGCTGGGCCCCAGGATGGGCGCCTATTTGTAACCCTCACCCTACATAAAGCACTGTACTGACTGAGGGATGGTGGAAGGATATGTAGGCTTTGGAGCCCCATATGCCCATGCCCAGGGATGTGTCCCACATACATGCAGTCCCTGCCAACTGTGTTGATTTAGCAGGGCATAAGGTGAGAGAAAGCCTGGGGTAGGCAAGGGGTTGCTTAGCTACTCCTGACTGGATTGTCCTGTGTGTCTTTGCTTCCATGCTGCCGATGCTCTGGCCTGCTCTGACACTGCCTCCTTGGTAGTGCCACAACTGGAGCTGGGTGGCAGCCCAGGAGCAGGGGATCTTCAGGCCTTGGCCCTGGAGGTGGCCCGGCAGAAGCGCGGCATTGTGGAACAGTGCTGCACGGGTATCTGCTCCCTCTACCAGCTGGAGAACTACTGCAACTAGGATCCACCACCACCCCGCCCACCCTCTGCAATGAATAAAACCTTTGAAGGAGCACTACAAGGTGTGTGCGTGTGTGTGCGTGTGTCGGACATTGAGTGAGGCTGGCTGGGGTGGCCACAGCTTAGTCCACCTTCCTAACCAGGATGGCTCCTAAAGAGTCCCAAGACTAACTCTTTGGTGCTCTCTGCACCCCCAGCTTTCTCCTGGCTCTCTTGGGCAAGCACACTAGACCACTAGACCAAACCTGGAACATAGTTGCTTTCCTAAGGTAGCCAATACCTTCAGGAGGCCCATTGCCCCCATCCTGAGTTATCTGCGAGGACCATGACCACCACTCCTGCTGTTTCTAGATGGGTAGAGAAGAGTTAGGGTCCTTAGAAGACACGGGTAATGGTAGCTAGAAGCTGATGCTTCATTGCTCCACATATAAAGGACCAGAATATTCCAACATCAGCTCCCACCTAGCCTTCCTGAGTTCTGTTTCCAAAGCTATTTTAAAAGGAGTCTCTGAAGGGATAGAAACTGGGCTTGGGAAGTTGATCTGGAAGGCCCTGGAGGCCATTGTCACAGTGCTTATCGCAGCTCTGGGAGGACAGAGGACAGCCCCTCTCACTGTCCGAGTGACCATTAGACACTGGACAGGACTGGCATCCCACATGGGTGGAAGGATGTGGCAAAGGACTCCTCTAGGCACTGCTTAGGAGCCTCAGAAGCCCACTTCTCAGGAGGGGCCAGGCAATGTGGGACATGTCAGAGCCAGATAATGCAAGGCCCAGGACTGTGGCCTCTTGTCGCTTCTCACCCCTCCTAGCTAGGCAGGGTCTCTTACCAAATTCCTTGAACCTGGCTACTTGGCAATCCCCTAGAAATATTCTCAGTCATAAGGAAAAGCCACATAACAACTAGGTCTTTGGGAATCCTAACATAGACTGCCTCTCTTCCATACACACCGAACACAGATTGGGTGCTACCTGTCTGGTAGATGAAAGCCTAGGAGGGTGGAAGGTGATTCTGGTCATCCCAAGGTTGACCTGCCTGCCACTCAAGCCAAACCAATCTATGTCATCCTGAAAGCTCCACCCAGACCCAGGGAGACAGGCTTCTGAACCCAGACACAGGCCTTCTTGCTGGTACTTGGTGGTTAGGAAGCCCCCAGAACCCTGGAGTACTCTTTTCCAGTCACCTCCTCTCTGTGACAATACCACACCCCTAACCTAGAGAAATGTCACAGGCCCCTAACAAGCCCTGCCTCTGAAAAAGGGGGCCAGAACTGAGTAGGAGGATGGATAGATGGACACTGGGCCTAGAATAGGAGAGAGGAAGCTGGGATCTTTCTTTGGGAATACCCCAGCAATCAGTCAGCATGGCCTAAGGTGGGGTCCCCTGCTGGAGTGAAGGTATGTGAGCCTCTGCGGAACAAGGGCAGAAGCAAGGATTATAAAGTAGGCGGGATGGGGTCTGTTGAGTCTCAAGAAAGCCATTGGCTGTGGCTGCCTGGGCCTTAGGTGGGTGAGCAGATGGGGCACCCCATCATTCAAGTACCACAAACTATCTGGAGGGCATATAAGTGAGGGTTGAAGGGAACAAGAATATTTGGGTCCTTGGGCCTTGTGGGGCAAGCAAAGCTTTGCAACACATGCAGTGGACTCATGCTATGAGTTCTGGGAGTTCAGAATTATGGTCCAGAAATCAGGATTAGGGTCCATGGTTTCACTCCTGGAGTCTTTGATCCAGGTCTCAAGGGCAGGGCAGGTTGCCCCTGGACTCTTAACCTGTCCAGATCGGGGTGCATCCCCACTGCCTTCCTGGGGCCTCCTGCAACTCTAGTTTAGGGCTCTCCTTCCTAACTCGTCTCACTTGGTCTTCTCTACTTGCCTTGAGGAGAGGAGCCAGAGTACTAGAGACGGGAATGTGCTGCCTCTCAGTCCCTGCAGGAGTGGACAAGAAGCAGCCTCCCAAAGGAAACTAGCGACCAGGGAACAGAGGTCAAATGAGACTCAGTCTTTGCTTGGCACTACCCTGAGTTCTAACCCTGGACACCATAGCTGAGGACTTCAGATGCTTCCTTAAGCCCCCAGGTCACCCCATGTAGGGGGCTCAGGCACTCCTTCTGGCCTTTCTGAGGCTCTTCTGGGTACACGATAGCCCTGCAGCACAGACGCTCCTTCCTGTCCTTGGAACCAGGGCTCCCCTTGTTCATGGAGCCTGCAGTGATAATCATGTTTATCTGGCTATTGTCTGTCACTTTGGTGTTGGAACCGGGGTTATGTCTTACAGGGACCTGGTCTGTAACAACTCCCAACACTGCTGGGGCCCCTCATCACCTCTGCCTAACATCTTGAGGGCCAGGGTATTACTAAAGATAGCCAGTACACTTGTGTTGGACTCTTGCCTGGTCTGATGAGGCGGTTCAGCTCCATATATGTGAGCTGGAGAAACTCATACTAATACTACACACAGGGAGACTGAGGCCTGGAGCAATGGCAGCCACTTTTCTGCTATGCACTAACAGTGCAGGTCCCCAGGCACCTGGAATGGTTTTTCAATGTAGCTGCCTCCAGGTTGGCTCCCCCAGGTTGCACTGGCTCCTGGCAAAGACAAACTGGCATCTCAATCTAGCTCCAGGGACAGTATTTGCCTTCTCATATTATCAATGAATGCTTCCTATACTCATGTTTTCTGGGCCTGAACAGGCCCTGAGTGACATGAGAGGTGGGGTCAAGGATGCTGAGGTCCATTTTTGCCCTCTGAGGTCCTTAAGCCCAGCAAGGTTCTGAACCAAGGAGTAAGAAGCACTCAAGAACCAGGTAGCTTCTAAGTCAACCTGCCCAGAAAAGTTGGCACTAGGCAGCACCAAACACTGGCTGGCCTAGATGTGAATGGAAGAGATCCCTGAGGAGCCTTCCCACTAACTCAGATTCGGCGTCCTTCGGTGTAGGTCACTGTTTTGGCTTAGACATTTGTGAAATCTGGACAATGTAGCCAGAAATGGTTAGTCAGAGAAGTGTCCAGCAGAGGGCGCCAAAGCCTCGCTTTTGAGTCTCGCCAAATCTGAAGAGCCGAAGGGCCTATCATCACAGTTCATTCTAGGGCTTGCATAGTGTCTCCCTTGCTACTCTGCACTCACAGGGACAAACGGACTTCCCAAAAGGCTGTCTGCCCTGAACTCTGGAGGGTGTGATGTCTGGTAAGGAGAGAAGGTGTTTTATCATGTTGGATGTGCCCCTTTGGGGTTTAGGCTCTCTAGACATCCATGGGGGTGGGGGGAGGTGAAGGGAAAATGTCCAGGTGTCTGCACTATTCCTAGAATGGCTCAGGTTATAGTCAGCTACTGCCTGCCTAGAATTACAGCTGCCTAGAGGAGCGTGTAGGAGCTATCCATGCAATGCCCCCACACTGTGGCTAAGTAAACAGGCCAGGGGAGCAGACTGTCTGTTTCTATCTGGGACCTTTGTGGTCCCGAGAGCCCTGGTGGAAACAGAGACTGGGGTCCAGAGGAGCCAGTGGTCCCTCACTCTGCTTGGAGTTTTCTTAGGTTTACAGGCTGGAAGGCCAAACCTTGGTTTTCACATGAAGTGGGGGCTACAGGGACCCCAGGGTGCAGGATGCCTCATGCTGAGTCCATCTGGGACAGGGTCAGCCCTTTCCCATGTCTACCTTCCGCCCAGTGCTGAGAGGAACGGAAGGTCAATTTTGAAAAGAATGCTGGGGGTGGCGTGGCCAGGGGTCTGAGAGCTGAAGGGCGGCCTGGATACAGAGTCACCCCTCTCCCCCACCCCACCCCCCTACCCCCGCCACTATTGTTTCTGGCCTGGCCACAGAACAGCAAGGCAGATTCCTTCGAAAGTGAAGCTGTGAAGGTGGCCCTGTGTGGTCCAGTCACAGTGTGCTGGCGCCAAGTTACCCAGTGGCTTCGAGCCAGCTCCCCTTAGAGTCACTGGCTCACTTCCTGGCCCCCAAGTAGCCTGCCTTCCAGGGTAGCCTGTCGCACCACCACCACCACCACCTTACCAAGACCTCATCCAGGACCCTTCTGCTGCATGTATTCAGAACCCTGTCCCTGCTCTGCATATCCCTGAGGTTGACCCTTGAACCTGGGCCTGTGCTGCGCAATAGGGTTAACAACAAGTCTCTCTCTCCAGGTAGGGCCTAAGCCAGGGCTCCTCAGATTTAAGAGCTGCCATGGTGGTGCTTCATCTATACCCTCAAAGTGACTAGATCCAGTTATCAGACCCCTGTGCTAAGACCACCAACTCTGGTTGTGTGAGCCAGCCAAGTCTCAAAGGCCATGTGTGGTTCCTCTCTGTGGACTAATGATGACTTCTTTACCAGACATGCCTGTACTTTACCAATGGCAGAAGTAGGTCTTAAAGCTGCCAAACCTGGAGGTGTACAGGCCCTCATGTTTCCATGAGGCTTCGTCCCCTGCAGTCCTGCAAATCCTACTTTAGAATCCTACTGCTGACAATGACCCACATTCCACTAGGACCTCCTTCTGGCTCTCCCGGCCCATCTGTGTTTGTAGACAACAGAGTGGAGGCCTTCAGCCCTGCCAGCTTGTGGCTGTTCATGCTGAGGCCCTGGCACTCCCCTTCTGCTCATCAAAGGCCACCTTTGCTTAGAACTGAGCCCGGCTCCAGCTGGGTCTCCAGTCTCCTGTCCATCCCTAAGACCCACCGTGACCTGGACCACTGAGGGCCTGGAAGACTCCTTCTGGTGTCTCTGGGCTCAGGTCCTTAGCATGGATAAGCAACACCTGGTGACCCAGCAGCAGTGAGAATGGGCCTAGGCACCAGAGGTAAACTGAGGGACCCAAATCTGTGCTCTGGCAATTACTGCCTGATCTTCCATAGGTCTGACTTCTGAGGATGAAGAACAGCTTCAGCTGGCAGGGATAGGAAACTGGTAAAAGGAGAAGGTGCCCTCACCTGGACCCAGACGTTGAAAAGGAGATAGAAGGGGCTGGTTAAGTGGCAGAAAAGCTGGCAGAGAACTGTCGAAGGAAGGATAGCCGTATCTCAGCTCTAGCTGCACGGTCAGACCTTAAAAGCAAG